TTTCATTTGATCGCTCCTATATATATATATATATATATATATATATATAGAGAGAGAGAGAGAGAGAGAGAGATAGAGAGAGAGACTTGGGATCATGTGAAACCAGCCTGTTTTCGTGAGACCCGTGAGACCATCTTTTTACACTTRAAACTTCACAGCAAAATGCTGTGAAGGTGACTTTTTTTAACCTTCACAGTGTTTTTGCTGTGAAGGTTCGAGTTTTTTTAACCTTCACAGTGTTTTTGCTGTGAAGTTTCAAGTGTAAAATGTGGTCTCACGGGTCTCACGAAAACAGGCTGGTCTCACGTGAATCCAACCTATATATATATTTATACATATATATATATATAAATATATATATATATATATATATTTATACATATATATATATATATATATTTATACATATATATATGTATATATATGTATAAATATATATGTATATATATATATATGTGTGTGTGTGTGTGTGTGTGTTATTTATTTCAACTAAAGCGGTAATTCATAATTTCTTATTTTCTAACTAGGTTTATAAACTAAAATTGTTATTTTTTAGATATTAATATGTAATATTTTGGATGTCAAGTCAAAATACAATTACTCGATAAGTTTTGTATATTACTCGATATAGTTTTATATTACTCAATATCTTTTAGTACATGTGACTTTTAAGTTTTTTTTGGATTAAATTGATTTTTTTGTTTTAGATTATTAATTCTTATATGATGTTGTGGTTTTTTTGTATTAAATTAAATTCATTTTGGTTTTAGGTTTATTGAAAATGTTTGAGATTTAAACATGTTGGTATCTCACATATTTAATTTAAAATAACTTACATAAACGGAGAAAAAAATCTTCGTTTCCCCGTTGGGGATGTGATTATATTCCCCGGCAAGGATGTGGACGGGGACGGGGACGGGGACAGGGATTGAGGTCCCTGCCCCATTCCCATGCTTGTACATGATAGAGGTGTGGTCGAGGTCATGACTCTCTTAATAAGAAATTAGGAAGCTACTTGGTCCAATAGAGACTTATCTAGAAGAAGAGAAGAGTAAGACATAACCATTTATTACTAATACATAATTCTCTCATAAGATTGTCTCTGATTATATCTATGTCTATGAATCATCACTGGAGGATGCTAGTTAATATCGATTACACAGATCAAAGAAATCTCAAATGAGTTATGAGAGTGTATATGAGCTGATGGACAGATCATACATACTCATTGATGATATGTCCGCATATATTGTTGCTCATCAGATGATAGAGCATGATGACATCAAACCATGCTCAGTTGAAGAATGTCAATAAAGAAAAAATCAGCCTAAATGAAAAGAAGCAATCCAGAAGAATTATATTTTGACAAATGAACTGGTATTTGGTCTAATAATGCTAATACACCAAGTGTAAATCCTGTAGAATATAGATAAATTATTTGTCACAAAGCATAATGAGAATAATTAAGTCATAATGTATAAGGCTCTCATTTGACGCAAGGTTTCTCACAATGCCCTGGATTGACCACCAGAAAACTTACTATCATGTGATGGATGCTATAACGTTCTACTAACTAATTAGCTTAGTAGTATCTGAAGGACTAGAAATGCAACTCATGGATGTGGTTACTACATATCTCCATAGAGATATAAATTCAGAGATACATAAAGGTGCTTGATGACATTATATTACCTAAATCAAGTAACTTCAAACCATGGATTGCATTTGCAATAAAATTGAAACATTCACTTTATAGATTAAAACAATCTAGGAGGATGGGTATACCCGCCTAAGTGAATACTTGTCTAAGTGAATACTTGATTGGGAAAAGATATAAGAAAGATGAATTGTGTCCTTACATATTAAAAAAATTTCAATCCTAGTTCTATATGTCGATCTTATGAACATTTATAGTACTCTTGATGAAATAAGAGAAACCATAATCTATTTGAAATATGAATTTGAGATGAAAGATCTTGGAAAAATTTGGTTTTGTCTAGCTAATAGAGCTTGAACACCAAGCTTGTGGAATATTGATCCACCGATCCACATATATCCAGAAAATGATAAGATGATTTAACATGGACAAAGCGCATCCAATCAACACTCCATGATCGATCAAAGTGTTGGATATAAGGGAAAAACATGTCGATTGCTTGGAAGTAAACTAAGCAAACCCTTGTAGCTACCTCCTCGAACTGTCCCAATAATTAGTCTACATGATTTCAAAAGTGTAGACGGTTAAGGGTTATCATTACATATATTAGAGGAACTAGTGGTTTGAGTTCAACCACTATTCTACATGCATATATGAAAATAATACATGTGTCGAAGAAATGAAAGTAAGATATATCAAGGGTGATAACAAAAAGCATGTTATACTTAAGTTTTAATGCACTTAGCAATAACAAACTATTCTCATGATTCAAATACGATGCAAAGAGAATGTAACATATTTGTTTACCAAATCATTACCTAAAACCATAATTGGGAAACATGTAGAAGATATTAAAATGCAAATGTTTTTCAAACTCCCTTGATGAATGCACGAATTAGGGGGAGTAGTAGACAAAAAGGGGAGTCTACTGTATCTAATATTGGTATGTTGTGTTCCTTCATTCACCCAATGTTTTATTTTTCCCTTTGGGTTTTGTTCCTTGGTGTGCTTTTAGTGAGACAACAATTTATATACCATCTCACTTTTCTAACTCTCATGATTAATATACGGATCAAAGAGAATATTATAGTAAATGAAAAGTCTATGTATTACAAAAAGATTGGTGCGTTGTACTTTTTACCTCCGTCTTTTTCATTGGGTTTTTATTTTAACGTAAGGTTTTAACGAGACAACAATTGTGCATCATGACTCTTTTGACTCGGCACAAGCGAGAGTGTTGTAGGATACATGTGTCATCGTCTAAAAGATATAACGATAGAGATAAATATAAATATATGAGAGTTATATTAGAATTAAAATATCTCGTAGTTATCTACTTGTAATTCTCATTCATATATAAAAAATATATATGTGATGAGAATTACATGTTATCTCTCTCTATTTAATTGTATTGTTTTGTTTCGTTTCGTTTGTTTATAAGGGGCCTTAATTAATGACCTTTATTATTTATCCATTTGGGCCGCTGTTCCTCAAGAAAAACAGCCCATTTACCCAACCACTTTAGGCCTTAGGGCTCTTATATCTCTTAACGCCATCGCTGGAGCGTTGATCAAGATTCAGGAAGAACAACCATGTCGTCGAAGGTGGTTCTGAAGGCAAAAGGCAAATCAACCAAAGGATCGAAGCCATCCGATGATAATTCAACATCCAAGCTCTTGAAAGAATGGAGCACATGGACCATCAAGAAGGCTAAAGTCATCACTCACTATGGATTCATACCGTTGATCATCATCATCGGCATGAACTCCGACCCTAAACCCTCCATCTCTCAGCTTCTCAGCCCCGTTTGATCGGTAATAATCCTTTTAAGTATTTGTCGACTTCAATCCAAAATCGAATCAATTCACTCTATATGGAAACATCGACTACTATCGTGAGTTAGGGTTTGTTTTTTGTTCTGTTTTTTGTGCATTTGAGGATTTGGGTCATTCATCCTTTGGATAGGTCTTCCTAATTACCTGTTGTGTTACGAGTTAATAAAATTTACGAGTTGTTATGATACATTCATCTTTATTGACATCATTTCATTTGAATTACATGCGCACACAAGCAGATTTCTTGATTTTGTTGCCTTTTTAGGGTTTTTTTTAGAAAAATATGAGAAGCTGCTTCTGTTATTTGGTTCTGTTGTTCTATTTCCCCAACTATGAGATTAGCAATCCGTTATGTATGTTTGTAATTGTTACCTATATCATATATCAGCACATGCATATGCAAGTTTAGATTAAGAAAAATACATGTCCTTTTTAAGATTAAAGAGCTCTTGGTTCTCTCTAATCTGTAAGACAATTTATAATTTGTTTTGGATTCTAATCATCAGTTTTTGAAGTCAAATTAGGTTTTATTTGGAGTAGAAGTAAGTTCCAATACAATCATCATGGTTTTCTTCTGATTTCCAAGTTAGCTAAATATCATTGTTCTTGAACCTAATAGGTGTCTAGACAAATCGAAAAGACCCTTTTGCCCACGGCACCCGTAGTTTGAACCGTTGTTTGAAGAACTCTAAAAGCGTAAATAATGATGAATGGTTCTTCAAGTTCTCTATTCATAGGTGGTGTACTTGTATTTAACCTTGGATCCTACCTCACTCTTGTCCTTTCAGTCCTGTCTAGTTGTGTTTGCATATCAAAAACGCACATTATATGTTTATTACTTTGTGGTATATAGGTTACACGCAATATGCAAAGGAAATGTTGCATGTGAGGAATTCCTTGTTCGTGAACGTGAGAAATAAGTTGCGTAGTTGATCGCTTGGTGTCATTTTGGTGTAAGCATTCTACATGATTTAGTGGATTCTCTATGAGCCTTGAAAAGAAGGCCAAATAGTAAAACCATATCCCTCGTTTGGTATGTAGTAATTACACAATAGTAATGTACTATTCCAATGAGATACAAGAGTATACCCCAATAGATTTAGGGGTTGTTTGGGATTGCTTATAAAAACAACTTATTGATATATTCCGGTGTGGCACCGGTAATAAGCACTTTTGGGTGTTTGGATAAACAACTTGTACCGGTGCCAAACCAGTAATAAGGAGTTTTTGAAGAAGTTAAACCCTTCTTACTTATGATAAGTTGATAAGTGTTTTTATAGAAAAGTATAAGTTGTTTCAAATAAGCAATCCCAAACACCCCTTAACTTTCAAGGCATTTGAACCTCAATATTTCCTTTTTGTTTTCTATTTGAACCCTTTTTTAAATCAAAGTTTTGGAAATATGAAAAGGAACATTTGATGTTGAGGTATTTAAGAGGAAATTTATAGGAAGGGGTTTAATACCATACCATGTGGAGAGAGTTTGTTTAAGATCACCATAGTGTACATGTATATTTGCTTAAATGTCAACTTCATTCTAGGGGTATTGAAAAAACTAAAACCGAATAACTCACCCGAACATGTTGAAGTTTGTGTTAAAAAGTTTAGGTTTATTCGGTTTTTGGTTTTCTGGTTTGGTTAATTTTGATTTAGCTTCTAGGTTTTTTTGGTATGATTTTGGTTACGAATGGCAACAGGCAAGGTTTGGGCCGGTTATTAGTATCCCCATCCCAGAAACCGATAATCAAAACCATCCTCGTAACCCCCCGATCCCTGTCGAGGATCTTATTGGGGACCCGTAGTTTCTCCAAACTCTGTTGGGAACCCGTTAAGGGTAAAAATCCTCTTTCAAACCGAAACCAAAACCGACCCTAAAATTACAAAATGTTAATTTTCACAACTAAAAGTGAATTACAACTTTTTAAAACATGCAAGTCTAAGGGGCCGTTTACCAAACACTTACCTCGTAAGTGCTTACCGATAAAATTTAACACTATCATTTATTTACCGGGTAAGATTTTAGTCTATCAAAATAGTATTGTATGCACCAATTTACCTGGTAAGTACTTACGGTGGTAAGAGTTGTCGTCTTCGCTTACCAGGTAAGACTTTTGGTTCTTGTCTTGCTTATATCGGGTAAGATTCTTGGTTCTTGTCATATTCATCCGGTAAGGTAATGTCACTTGATAAGTGCTTACTCGGGTAACCAAACGCTTCTAAATGTCTTAAATATAATCAAGCCAATTATAAACATTACTTAAATTACAATAGAAAAGTAAATAGAAGTTCAATAACAAATAATGTCTTCGATTACAATATGCAAGTCTAAATGTCTCAAACATAATCAATTCAACTTTCGCATTGTAAGTGGATAAAATTTTAAATTATAATGTTAGTATTTTTCTTTTAATGAAATTATATTTTTTTCGTTAGGTTTATTTGGGGTATTGAGGTAAAGTGGATAAAAGTTTTTAAAATTTTAATGTTAGTATTTTTCTTTTAATAATGTTATACACACACACACACACACGTATAGGGGCTTAATCATTTGAGAACGCAATAAATTGTGATAACCTTGAGAACTAGTATTGTGTTATTTCACGTGAATTTTTTCATCCATGGCTTAATCATTTAGTAACGCAATAAAGTAATGTACTAAAAAGATGTGGGTTGGGTTCACGTGAGACCAAGGGTTTTTTGTGAGACCCGTAAGACCAATTTATGTTCATTGGTCAACTTTATAAGCTAATGATTTAATGTTATAAAGTTGTATGGTGGCAATTTTGTGATTATTGAGAAGTCTCGTGGCAATTTTGTGATTATGAATGTTCAGATCGTAGATTTAATCTAATAATTAAGAATTGGTCTTACGGGTGTCACGAAAAACCCTTGGTCTCACATGATCCCAAGTCTCTCTCTCTCTCTCTCTCTCTCTCTCTCTCTATATATATATATATATATATATATCATTGTTTCGTTTTATTTTTTATTTATGTCGATATAATACGATTTTATGTGGTTTTGAAAAAACAATGTTTTTATTTTTGCATAAGATATAAATTTAAAAATATCATATAAAATTTACAAAAAATATATCAGTATTAGTATCAAATTAATTATTTAAAAGTTCTTGTTTGTGTCTTTTTTTAATTCAAATTTTTTATTATAATTTAATTTAACGTAACGAAGAAACTTAATTTACGTTTAATAATATTTTTTTCATAAAGATAATAACTAAGTATTATATCAGAACTCAATTATTATCTTAATTATATTTTAGATTTTTTATATTTTAAAATGAGATGTTTATCCTCTATTTGATTTTGTATATCCGCAGTTAGTTACACGAATTCAAACATAGAGCTTTAATAAGTTGTATTTATGCACAATTTAATTGTAATCTTGAATTTTAAGTAAAATGCATCAACAAACAGTATTTTATGCATAAAAAATAATTTTTAAGAGTTTTTGTCAAATGTTTTATAATATATTATAGATATATACATATGATGTTTTGAATAATAACGTAGAAAAAAGTTAAATATATATAAAGTAATAAAACTAAAAGAAGAATCATTGATACCAAATATATATATATATATATAGCTTATAAAAATTGATATCAGTAGTGCGAAATCGAGATAAAAATCTCTTGAATTTCAACTCACTAGTTTTTTCAATTTTCAAAGAAATTCGTATTCGACTCTACGTGTATGGGAATGAGAGTAAGTATTTACTTATTTAGGATTTTAGTTATTAAGTTTTATTTTTATGTTTACTTATGTCTTATATCTCGTATAAATTATTATTTATTTCTCAAGTTATACAATATAAAATCTCACATCTTACAAAAAAACACGTTGTAACATTTCTGTGTMATAACACGGTACAATGAAAGTCAAGTCTTAGAATAGAACCACATGGGTAATGTGACACGAGCTATGCTTCAACCTTGGCAGATTCACCTTAAAGGATCCTATTGATTTTGTTCCTTTTTGTGGGGGTGGGCTAATGGCACCCCAAG